GTATTTTTAAATACTTTTTACAAATTTTTCGAAAAATTTTTGATTAACCTATAAAATTTTAACGTCATCTTAAACTAGATGTATTTTTAGGCAGACCTACAGAAAGTTAGAGTTTTTTATTCAAATTTTCTAAGATATACATGAAATTACAAGTTGGAGCGTTTTGAAATTTAGCATCTTTTTTTTTTGAGTCATGATAACGCCAAATGTGGTTTACGCACTATGTTAAAATTATTTCAAAGTTTGAACGATGACTTTTTTCCGCTCGTCTATGATTAAAAAAAAAGACAAATCTGAAAGGTTTCAGATTTTAAAGTACGTTCAAAGGAGCATTTTCTTAACGTTTTAACCTCTATTTATTAAATATCATGTTCTACGTACTCGAACTATAAAATTCAGTTCAACAACAATATCGCAAAATAATTTTAAAATGAGCCTATCTTTAGAATTTCCGATACATAGCAGATAAAAAATTTTTCTTCCCCCCCCCCGTACAGTGTTTCTATTGCTCGCTTTGAAATCGTTGAAGTTGAATCAAATTCGTTGAAGTGTTACAAAATCTGGAATGGATAATAAAAACAAATTTCAAATTCAAATTAGGGGTTCCACATGCCCATATTCTATGGAAGATTATGTTATTCAAATTTTGATGGCTTTAGGTACTGTTGTTTCATCACAGTGCGAGAAATATACATACATTCATGCAGATTCTTCATTATTTAATTTCTTTAAATATAATACAGGGTAATAAATTAAGAAGTTTTCTAAGTAAATTATTCTTGGCGATAATTGAAAAAAATACGCCAAGATAAATTTTTGAATTTCTCCGTAAATTTCACCCCAAATTTTACAAAATTTAATATTTAAGCTTAATTTGAATCCTAGAATCGAAATATGGAAAAATATTTCAGAAAAAGTCCGATTTTACGTCAAAATACCTATATTAGAACAAGACTATACAGAAATCTAATATATATCTTGTGCTTTCGAGATATGGAAAACGCAATTTGAATTTCGTCAATTGGCCCAGTAGAACGAGAGACATAGAACTGTCCCACTTCCCCCCCCCCCACGCACTGTACATTCATAAATCATATATCTGTAGTCGTTACTAGATAATTCTTAGTCTTTATGCTTCACAATTATAATAAATTCGGAATGTTTATTTCCTACTCAGAAATGCTAAAATGGCTGTAAACATTATATATGATAGTTAAATTGTGGGTTATTTGTTGCGTTGCAACAAAATGCTGCATTACAGTATGAAACGTAAGTTCATGGACGGAACTGGGAAGAATTATTCACTTAATTGCAAACATTGTCTACGTAAAAGCGTAACAGTCTTAGACACACCACGCATAAGAAAATCTAATGTGGACACAACATGACGTCTTTGTACGGCTTATTACATCATTAAAACTTATTTCCTCAAATTATTCTAACTTAATTAACACATCCCTGAAGGCAAATTGAAAATGACATCAAGAACTGCGAATTTTGAAATTATATATTCCGGTCAATTTTTGTTGTGCGAAAGTCAAACTTTCTATAATTTTATTTTTTCACACCGAGTATAAAACATTCCCAAATATGAATCCAGAAACCGGAAGACCGTATTAAAGTTAGATTTTGTTATCTGTCGAAAATAACTTTTTTTTTTTAATTTGAAATTCCCAAAACATGAATATTTTTGTCATTTAAAACACTTCTGTAATAGGAATCATATGTCTATGACTAACAACTGCGAAAATAAAAGCAGAAATTAAAAAAAAAAATCTTATTATAATCATTTCTTTAAAATTCAATAATGTGCAACTCAAATGAGGAAATTATTTAATTATGTTTCTATTTTCTAACCATTATGTAATATATATATATATAATATATGCGTGTGTGTTAGATAAAATATATAAATCAGTTTTTTATAATTTAATTTAGTAATAACATCTTAACTTCTCCTTTTTAATTTGGATATTTCCTCTCTATATTCTAGAAGTAGCAGTAACTTTTCTGGACCGCACCATTCCTAGATTTATCTATGTCACATGGCTTGCGTAACGCTAATGACGTAGCTAATTCGGAACCTCAACTCAAAATTTCCAGAACTGAAATCTTTCTAATGTAAACCGAAACCTTGTCTTTGTGAGTCTCCATACTGGTTGACTGCCCACTTTTGCTTCAGCTCTCCTGCGCCGAAGACGCTACTTCGCTCCGTTTGCTTTGTCATGCTGCTATCTACTCCGTTATCTAAAATGTGATACTCTATAAAACTGTGGGCTGCATATTGTGCCCATGATCATGTGTGATGAAGAATATATTTCAATAATTAATTCGTGTCCAGCAGTAAAAATTATGTTCCATTTGGCCACGTCTGTCCACAAGTCTTCTTCGAGTATCATTTTTCTGACTATGCTTTAATAAAGTCTCTACAAGTTATAACGCAGACGTTTGACGGAGAGCCCCTCAGGGAATAGATCTGAGAGTCTTCTACTACTAACTTCTCGAGAGGACTTTCGGCTCGCCGCATATTTAATGTGTTCTCATGCCGCACAGACACCATACGTTTACAAACATCCATGCTTTCTCTGGGATTCGAACCCGGGTCTTCGGTTCAGCAATCTGAGTCACTAACCTCTATTCCTGTTGGGTGACACAGCTTTCATTTGCTTTGCTAATTAGAGTAGGGAGGGGTTAAGAAAAGAAGTTATAAAACCTGCTTGCATAGCGGCGCCCAAGCATAAAAGTACGAGCACCTGTTATGTTTGTTTTTACAAGTTAGAAACTTATATTCATAAGGTTACGTCATCTTTTTATGCAGGGAGCGTTTGTGAAGGTTTATGCCTTTTCGAACGGTGCCGACTTGCATAAAGGTGTTGGCATCTTAATGAAGCAGTCCCCTTGTTTTTGTCTGGATAACTGCAGTTGGCAAGTGTACGGCAGCTATTAAACAAAATCTTTGCTAAAAAGATTAGGCGAGCGGCTTTTATCAACAAAAGAAGTAAAATCATCCATTACGTAATAATTTATGTGAATGAATTTCTAAAATGCTTCATGGAATTATGAATAACTCCATAAATTAATTGAATATAAAATCTTTATAAGCAGATTTTCAGTACATTAAAATTAAAAAATGATCATTTCATATGTTAGTCCATGGCACCGTAATACCTAAAATTATAATTATATGGCAGGCAGGTACAGGAATGGCAAAGCTTGACGATATAACTACCTCAGAGTCGGAGCGTTGTTGTAGCTGAGTAGAAGGCTGACAAATGATGACAAAGAAGGATTTAGTACATTAGATTCCCCATCTTTATTCAATTCTCACCGCAGATCATTTTTCCTTTAGATGAAATTCTCCAAATTACATATTCAACAGTGATTTAACTATGTAAGATTAAATTTAGAGTTTCTACGTCATAACTGTTCTGACAAAGGAAAGAAAAAGATGGGATGAGCAGCAGCAAAGACTTGTAGCAGAGGTAAAAGAAAATGGCACTCTATATTTATACTAGCGGTTATATAACATGTCAGAATGTTTTCGAAAGTGATGGTTTAGGGGGACGATTCTGAAATTGCGGAAAGTTCATTATAGGTTGCCTGTTCGAGAGGAGTAAAGCCATCTTTTTTATATTTTACATATATATATATTCTAAATAAAAGTAAATTAAAATATCTATGACTAATGCTAAAGCTTCAAAGTAATAAACCAATAATTAATAATAATTTATGATAAGAAAACTTCCCATGTACCATCTTCAAGGAACAGAAATTCAATTTAAAACCATGAATGAAAAACTTTTCAGTCAGTATTTTAAACTAGTATTTTCTAGACCTCTTTTGCTTTAAAAACATATAATTTTAAGCATTGCAAAAGTAGCTATTGTCAGTGATCGCAGATTAATCGACTTATCAAGGGGCTAAACCAATCTACCATCAATTAGCAAGAATTAAATTAAGGTCTATAAAAGAGGTCTAGAAGAGAAAAAAAAGGTCTAGAAAATACTAGTTTAAAATATAAATTAAAATACTGACTGAAAAGTTTTTCCATTCATGGTTTTAAATTGAATTTATGTTTCTTGGAGAGAGTATATGGAAAGTTTTCTTATTATATATGTAAGATAAAAAATATGTGAATCAAAATTATAATTTAAACTAACGGTAAAGCATTAATTCTTCCTCTCTATTCTAAAAACGCAATAATTTCTCTGGATTGCGTCATTTCTAGATCATTGTATGGCCTGCGCAGTTCTGATGACGAAATAATTGAGAACTGAAACTACCATTGTAAACCAAAACTTTTTCTCTTCGCGTGCTTCCATCTTTCATAACTACGCACTTCACCTTCTGTCTGTGCTGTGCTTGGACGCAATTTACCTACGCTGCTTCCTATTGAAATAATATCAATAATGTAAATGTTCTTGAACAGGCACGACTAGGGTGCCAAGTGATCTGTGGCCACATAATGTCAATTAGAAATAAAAATGGAATTAAAATCGCCTCGACTGCCAAGTTTTAGAATCATTAGAATTTTTACAATATGATAATAATAAATTTTCAAATGTTCAATTCTGATGTAAAGTTTGCAATACTTCTGAAAGAAACTTTAGTAAAAATTTAAATATATATATATATAATAGTTTTTTTAAATTCATTTGCTATTATGAAAAATTGCAATTGATATATATACATACATGCCTTTACAGTTTCGGCATTATTCATTAAAAACAATTTGAATTAATTACTAATTCACTTCAAGCTGTTTGTTACCATGAAAAATTGAAATTGCTTTATGGCATGCAAACAACTTCAAATTTTATATTACTAATTCCATCTCCTTCCTTACACCCTCACATACATACACCTAACACGCTTAAGTGCTATTGGCGAGACGAACATTTTTCAAATTTATCCGGCAGCCCTCCTGATCTTCTGAACTCGACAATAACAGCAAGGCCAAAAGAATTTAATCAACACGAAGAAGATTGTGGCCTACCTACCAAACACCTGCCGTCCAGACATACTCCGAGGGGGCAAGGGGTGCCATCGGACACCTTTCCGAAGCCATACACCAGCTTCTCCTTCTTGGCCTCGCAGCGCAGTTCGCACGGGTTAGGACCTGGTGAAAAGAAGATAAGATCAAGGAAAACATTCCGTTGCCCCTCCACATTTAATACATTAAAGTATACACAATATTCAATTTGCAATCGAGATTGCTTAATAGGCAGTCACAGCGCTGCAATTACAATTTATGAAATCTTTCTCCGTTTGAGTTTTTTTCAAAAAGAATCATGATATCATAAACAGGATATGTGGGTGTGTATATATATATATATATATATATACATTTAATAATATCAGAGAAAATTAGTTAGTATTTTTAGGTAGTGATTCAAGACATCCGCAATCATAAGGAATTAGATTTTCTTAGTTTTTCTTTTCCAAAGTAATTTCGGACTTCTAATATCTGTACTGAAAGGATGCCAAATTTCAGTGTCAGCATAAAACAAAATAGCAACTTTTGCATTTAACCAGTAGAATAAAAATATCACTAAAATGAAATTCTTAACAGTAAATATATTTAACTAAATACAAAAATTAAAAATACTTTAGTAAAATGTTTTAGAGATGATATATCTTGAATATATAACAATATACAACCTGAAAAAGAACAAAGTTTTTTACAAAATATTTTTATGAGATAAAATTAACGGTCATATAAATAGCTTCGAATTTAATTAAGAGTTTACAGCCAAGCAAGTAAAAACATTATTTGCTTAACGTCCGCTTTAATTATGAGCTTAAATACAAAGCTTCATCACAATTGGCTACTTAGAAATGATAATAACGATGGCTGTTCAAACATTTTTTAGACGATTTTGCTTTGCCATAAAAAATCGCCTGGTTGGAAAATTTTTTTAACTTCAACTATATGTTTGAAAATACAAATTATTATCTGCTACTTGACAGTTTTTCACAAAAAATGGCGCTTTGGAAGAAGTAATGGATGTAATTCCATGTTTGTGCTCTTGCCTAAGAAAATTATTTGTATCTAGTTATTAAAAAACGCTGTGAAAACCAAGATTTTTTTATACAGTCAAAAGTCTTTAATTTAGACTCGTCGGGATTCGGCGATTTCGATTATCGGTTTTTCTGGATTATAGATCATCAGTTTAAATTTGGTAAGATAGCATGCAGAAATTATAAAAGTAAAATATGAAACCGTAATTTATGAAATAAAGTGCAATTATGATATAAAGGGTATCAAAATTTCCAAAAAAAAAGCTTAATATTTATTTGTTTACTTTATTAAACATTTCTTTCAACGCGCGCATGCGTAAAGCATACATTACTCATAGTCTAAATTAGAAAATTGCAACCAGAAAACTATTTGATGTGTATTCGTGATATTTATAATGATGAGGAAATTGGTTTAAATTATATCGGAGTACATCGAGATGAAACACTACATTTAGTGAGGAATTATAAGGCGAATAAAATAAAAGCATCTGCCCTGAAGATGAGGATAGTGCTGAGAGATCAACTTCCAGTTCATTGCGCGCCGCGACGTCCCCCCCCCGCAGAGCAGCGTGAAATTGATAAACAGATTTCGGAATGGTTAGAGAAACAAATCACCTTTTTGTCACTTTCTTCATGCCTTTATCTATTTTTTTTTTTTTTTTTTTTTTTTTTTGTAGTAATTCCACTTTTTGTTTAATGGACATCGAAACATGCTTTCGCTTTGCAGATCCTTTGGCAGCTCCAGAATTGGAAACTCTTTTTGACATAATCGTAAGCTCAAGCTTAGTTTTTATAAAATTGCTCTAACAGTCTAACAGTCTGCAAAAAATAATAAGCCGGATCCAATTCGAAGATTAAGGAAAAACGCAATCTACAACATTAACTGAAATAGATAATTAGAAAATTTTAGCTTAGCTTATTCCGTCCGTTATACATTAAACGCGCATGCATAAACGTATTATGCGCATGCGTAAACGCATTCCGGATTATGGACTTCCGGATTAAAGACTTTTGATTGTATCTAAAACTACCATAGGTAATTATTGTTAAAAAGAAAGGAAAAAAGAATCAAAGTTTGGCTTCAAATGAAAATCTTATTCCAAATACACATCCAAATAATAAACGGAATGTTTCCAATGTTGCAAAGGTAAGATCATTAATCATAAAAGAAAATCCGCTAAGTCAAAGCACAACTGCGAAATCATTAAAATGCTCAGTGTCAACTATAAACAAAGTTATTAATGATGAGTTGAGTCTTAAAAAGAAGAAAAGCGCAATATGCCTCAACTTTCGCCACGGCTTATCACCGAACGCAGAAAGCGCTGCAGAATTCTTTATGAAAAACATTTATTCACGCAAAAATGGAAAAATGCTGTCACAATTGATTAATCTTGGGTGTATTTAAATGACTGCATTAAAAAGAGATCCATTTATTATCATCAAAGAGAAAACAAATCTGAAAACAGGGTTCAAAGAATCTACAAAACATTTTTGAAAGGGATTTATGAGTGTTGCTTGTTTTTCATGCAACTGCAAACCAAAAATAAAAGAGTGAATAAAAATGTTAAGATCAACTCCACATATTATCAGGAAAATATTTAATACCTAGTTTTCGAAAATAAAATACCTTCTCTTTACTCACAATGCATCAATTAGTAGAACTGCATCAAGGCAAAACAGGAAGCCACACGTCAAAATCCAGTGTTAATTTTCTGGAAAAATGGAACAAGAAACGGGTATCAAGGACATAAGTTTCACTCATATCCCTTCTAAATTCTCCTGATGTATTCCCCATTGAATTTGGCGCTTTTGCTCTTTTAAAAAGTGGATTGTCTAAACGACTTGAAATGCTGTTCAAGAGGAACGAAATAAAATCCGATACTATTAAAGGGTGTATTGCCTTGGAAATTAAGGTGTAGAAAGATAGTAAAGATTAAGAATTATCAAACAGAGCATTTAAAACACAAATATTTTAGGTAAAATATTTCTGGAAATACAATGAAAATTATCTAAAAGAATGGGAACAGTCTCTGCATAACCTTTTTTCTTTACGTATAATATCGTCTATTCAGATTAAAAACCATTCGATTTCTGATTAAAAGCAATTAAAATCAGTTTTAAATTACTTAGATATCCATTCTGAATAAATAAATAAATTCTATGTAGCATATCCTTAGCTACTTCTGTATGCATTTACTAGATATTTATTCTAGTATCCTGTAACCTCTTTGCAAAAGAACGAAATTTAAAATAAAAGTTTACATAATATCCTAAAAATTTTTTTATCATGTTAAAATCTTGGCGTTTGATGTCTAGTCCATAATGAATCGCTTTTCTATGTAACTACTGTTCACATTATCCTGTTGAAAATCTACTCTTACGCTTTAAGGAAGAACGCAATTTCTTTCCTCCTTCCAGCATACCTTCACAGAGTAACGGTAGCACGGTACGTATTCGAGAGGTCCAGGTTTGAGACACAGCGAAGGCACTGCACATTTTTCCTCTCCAGATAATGACTCTACAATGCGTCTAACTTCCTGAACGTCATCACATGTTCATAAAGCGTAGACTGATTAGATGCGATACATGGTATATCAAATTTTCACGGCACTGCAGTAGGTTATGACCGTACTAAATTCGCAAGATTGCCCATATTACTACTACACCTTTATATCTGCTAAAAAAAGCCTTACTTTTGGGCGCAAATCGTGCTAATATCACCGCTTACTGTCATGACCGTCTATTTAAAAAAACTTTTCATTGAAATCTATGCTAAGCTACGCTATTTGCTTATGGTAACACGAGGCACATCTTTCTGAGAGGAAAGACACCTTCATGGAAGACTTTTTAAGGGAAATTGACTGTTAACATGTTACACATGAAGAAAACCAACCATGCAGCTAGCCCGTTCGAACTCAAGTCGAACTAACAGTATACCATGGTGCTGACCGCTCGACATTTGCTCTTTCTAGCTGAGGAATCAATTCGTTTCGTATTCTCTATCATTGCAGTTTTCTTCTACTTTAATTTTCAGGTTTACCTTTCTGTTACAGCAAATGATTTGACATTCCTTTTAAATTATTTATTTAGCTTTAAAAATTGGTACCTTTTGCATGGGATGCTTACAGGCCATTCAAAGGGCAATGAATCTTGATGACGAATATTTTATTGTAATTATAAATGGAACAGTTAGGTTGGCAGAGTAAAACCGTTTTTGTGCGTCTTTTCATTTAATGTGGATTTCCTTACAGTCTTTTTATTTTTACTGCAATCAAGCTCTTTTTTTTATATTTTTTTTATTTTATTTTATTTTGCAGAGCATAAACAGAATTTTTAACATTTATCAATTTTTCTGCAAGATTTCTTCTTTTTTAAGTTAAGACACAGACACTGCACACTTCTTTTCCTTTAAGGGGTGTTGGAACCCCAAAATCTTCAAAAAATTGTGATTTCGGATTTTTGCATTTTCAAATTCTCTACACTTTTATCTTTCTAAAAATACCATTCTTTAATCTCTATGAAAATTAGAACTGTAAAAAAATCTAGTTTTAATTTGTCATCTACTGCTTGGATCAATGAGGATTTTTACATAAAAACGCCTTTTTCTCCAAACGTGATTTTTTTTACTCTAAAATTCAAAATGCTTCAAAAGCTCATTTCAGTATAATCAAATAGGTATACTTTAATTACAAAAAAAATTTCAAGCTTGTATCTACAGCAGATTTTGAGAAAAGGTACATGGAAAATGGCCAATTTAACATTGTCGGTATAGGGGTTTCTGATACCCCTTAAATTATACAGCTTATCATCTAAATCTAATCTCTCATCTAAATTCTACATCATACATTGATATCTCTATGCAGCACATGCTGAGCAGGTAGAATATGGCCATGCTAGATCCTACATTTTTATGACATGAACTATTGATGTAAACATAAATTTGCATGTAAGTACTGTTACCAAGGTTTTTTTTTACAGTTCCATTGATTTCCATTTTGCATTCCTAAATCCATAAGTTTAAATTCAATTTATTCATAACTTATTATTAAACACCTCTATTTATTAGAAAGTAAATGAAATAATTATGTGAACTTATTATTAACTTATACATTCATACTTATAATGTATTAACATATAAAAGTTCTGTAAATGATTGAAATTGATTCAAAGATAATGTTAAATCTATAATAAAATTTAATAACTTTCAAAAGTAATTGAATAGTTTGGAATAGAAAGTGCCTTAAATTTTAAACTGATCATTTTATTTCTAAATACACTTAAGATCAAATTATAGCACCATACGCTACATTACTAGAAGTTGTAATGTTGCGCGCTTCCAACCTGCACGCAACAATAGTGGTGACTGCTATGAACTGGAAAGTACAACAAAGTCTTGAGAAGGGTTTAAATCCCTTTTTATTCAACTTTATAAATTACAGATGCGTGCTCTTGACGCTCACAAACTACGCCGACCCGGCGGTAAAATAAAAATAAGAAACTAAAAATGAATAGTAACAAGTGACTACCTACGACGCTCTCTAAAACGTAACTAACCTAACCGCGTTCTAAGATACCGCTGACAATTCAGCAAACTTCTGAATATTACGCTGAAAGATTTAACTATCTACCGAGGCAAGCACACAGGCCGAAACGCGTGGTTCTTCAATTTCTAACTAGCCATCTCCACGCTCGTGATGCAAGAAAGCACACTTTCGAACTCGTTTCCCTTCTATTTAACTCTGAATACTTCCGCTGACTATTTTGAATACTTTGCGCGTTCTACTAAAATTTACATACTCTGGCATTGGCAATTCCAGGGGAAAGTAAGGCTTGACAGGAAAGATAGTTTAAACTTAAACTAAATGTTAGTTAAAATAAATATAAACCCTACAAAGTAATATATTTGATCAATATATAAATATTTGAGTAAAACGAAGTATAATCTCATACAAAACTGGAATGTAAATATATTAAAATTTACAAAAATATTTTAAAATTTATATCATCTAGAAATTACAATTTCAAGACATTTAAAAGATTTTAACAATAAGTAAAAAAAATTTAAATAATTTTGGAAGTTATCTGTATGAATATAGCAATATAAAAAAAAGAAATTAATTAAAAATAATTAAGAAAATTAATTACCATTAACTAATTACCAAAACAAATTTCAAGCTTTGTTACTACTTGCATATCATGAAAAAAATGTATCAGACAGTCACAGTAAAGACTGCAGGATAAACATTTGCAAGGAATTACAGATGTATTTGTTAAATACACTGCTCTACATTGAAAATGCAACACCAAGAAGGAGTGGTCAGAAATTTATGCAAATTTTAGAGTAGACGCACGTCACTGAGTTATGTGAATGATGTGACATGCGCAGCTTTCCGACGCACGTGAAGTAAGATATAAGGGAAGGAACGTCAGAATGGGCAATATTCGTGTCGTTATTTCTGCCAGACGAATTATCGAAAAAAGTTGGTTTCTATCCCGGAGGATACGTGTAACAAGTGATAAGTGACGGAGGGCGTGGGCACCATCCCTCTACCACGATGGTCAATTGATATAGCGCCACGTCCTCCCTTATCTAGAGTCCGGGTTGAGGGGCCACACGCGAGCCTCACACAGGACGCCCTGTAACAACGCCTGGACCGTACAGTCAGCAGTCATGCCGACCAAATGCTAACGGGGTGAACTCCCGTCCAAAGTGTCCGGGCCCAGTGTATATTGAACTCCAATAAAAAGTTTACATGGCCGAACAGGGGCAGCAATACATTCGTTTGATATCATTGTGCAGACATTGCGACAAGTTCGTTCATTCAACTGACCTAATTAAACACATAAATGCATATATAGATGCATAAATACATAGATGCCGCCAGGCCGCCGTCAACGAACGCACTTCCAGCAGATAGACGATTTTACGAGGGGTATGGTGATCGGGTTGGTCTTTACGTCAAATCGCAGCTGATATACCCACATGGATGCGAGCACGGTGCATCGACTATGGCGAACATGGTTGGAAATGTGGGAAGAAGGAGGGGTGCAGCCAGAGTGACGTCAGCACACGTGGATCGACAAATCTGCCGACAAGCTGTGGCGGTCCCGCAAGTCACTTGTACCGCGATTCTGCAGCATGTGCAAGATACCCTGGATGCTCCCATGTCGACCAGAACCATTTCCCGTCGATTGGTTAAACGTGGCCTGCACTCACGGCGTCCTTTAAGAAGATTGACATTGACCCCACAGCATAGACGCCAACGTTTAGAATGGTGCCAGACTCGAGCGATGTGGATGACAGAATGGCGAAACGTCGTGTTCTCAGATGAGTCACGCTTCTGTTTATCCAGTGACAGTCGCCGCATACGTGTGTGCCGTCGACGTGGAGACAGATCTAATCCGGCAATAACTGTGGAACGCTCCACCGCGCGACAACGTGGCATAATGGTTTGGGGTGCTATTGCCTACGATTCCAGGTCACCTCTAGTTGGTATTCAGGGCACTATGACGGCCCAACGATACTTGGATAATGTACTGCGGCCGGTGGCAATCCCCTACCTTCAGGGGCTGCATAATGCAATTTTTCAGCAGGATAACGCCCGACCACACACTGCTCGCATCTGCCAACATGCTCTGCAAGGTATACAGATGCTTCCCTGGCCACCGTACTCTCCTGATCTATCACCAATCGAACATGTGTGGGATGTGATTGGACGCCGTTTGCAGACTCTGCCCCTGCCTCGTTCAGAAGACGAACTGTGGCAAATTGTTGAAAGGGAATGGAGAGCCATCCCTCAGGACACTGTCCGCACTCTTATTGACTCTATACCTAGACATATTTCTTCGTGCATCGCTATCCGCGGTGATCCTATACATCCTACTGAGCCGACGCCGTTCTCGCTCTGTATTCTGACTATCATTTTGAAATAAAGATGACTTATTGCTGCTTGCTGTCTCTGTCTTTTTTCTAAATTTCATCGCTTTCTGACCACACCTTCTTGGTGTTGCATTTTCAATGTCGAGCAATGTATATTGTACTAACTTCCACAATAAGTTTAGAAGCTTATGAAATGTGACTGATATTGCAATTATTCTTATTTAAAGGCATAACAATTGGAATAAAAATGTACAAGAAGAAATTATTTACCATAAAGTAATCACCAAAACAGATTTTAAAACTTTGTTTATTACTATCTGCTCATCATGAAAAATATGTCAGACTGCCACAATAAAGACTTCTGGTTAAAAAATTGCAAGGGTGATACAGAGAAGTGCTCCCAAATATATTGCACTAAGTTCCAAAATAAGTTCAGAAGCTTATGAAATGGGACTTATATTGTATAAAGTCATAACAATTGCAATAAAAATGCAGAAGAAGAAAATTAATTACCACAAAGTAATTACCAAAATAGATTTCAAAACTTTGTTTGTTCCTATCTGCTCATCATAAAAAAAAATATCAGACTGTCACAATAAAGTCTTCTCGTTAAATCATTGCAAGGGAGATACAGAGAGGTGTTTTATTTGTTAAATATATTGCACTAACTTCCAAAATAAGTTCAGAAGCTTATGAAGTATGACATATAATGTAATCAAATGTTATTATTAATTATTAATTAATATTGTAATTATTCTGTTTGATCCCATTTTTTTCCCTGTAAGATAGAAGAAATTGTCCCCAAAATACAAAATTTAATTTTTGATTAAAATATTTCCTTTTTTCTGATTCTCTTTTTATTTTAGCCTTAACATTATAAATGTTCGTGTTTATAATAATTTGTGAATTAATTTACAATTAATACAACTTATAAATAATATGAAATTTTTTATCAATATTATTTTCAAAATCAAGGAATAGTTATCATAAAATAAAAGCAGTATTGTATTATCCTTAAGGGAATTATATTAAAAAGATAATTTACATGCTTTACCTCCACTGCTAGGGGCCCAAGTTGTTACTTTTCGGCCAGCAACAACACGGTTGTTATACTGGGAGCACTGCAGCTCTCTTAAATCTGGAGAATTTGGTGGACATTTCTGTAATAAGAAATAAATAATTACGTGAAAGCAATTCAGTTGAATTTTCAGTAAAATTATATATTTGGATTATTTCCAAATCCGAGTAAATAATACTAAAATATAAATCTACGATCATTGAACGACTAATATAACAGTTGTAGGAAGAGCATAACAAACTCAATTTGGGAAAAAAAAATTTAAATCTTTCAGACTTTATATTAGGCCCAAAGGGGCGTTTTTGTCAGGGGGAATGCAAGCAGGACTTAAAAAGCGATAAAGTCATTCGAAGCAAAAATTTTAAAAATAGAAAATATATAATAAAACAAATTCTAAATCTGAGCTTCTAGATACCCATATTCGAATGGACGACCATGTTATTCAAAATCTGATTGATGTCTTTAGGTACTGTTGTTTTTTCACAATGCGAGAACCATACATACATTCATACAAATTCTTTATTATTTAATAAATATAATGCAGGGCTCTAATATTTGGTGCCAACAGTTTAAAAAGGGATTCAGACCTTTATAGTGAACTAATGCAAAATGCCAAAATGAAATTAATAGCCCTTCTATGCAAACTGCCGCTGTGGGTTTCCAAAAAACAAATTCATATTTTAACATTTTGTGTATTACCTTTATTTATTAAATACCATGTTCTTCGAACTTAAACCATAAAATCAATTCGACAACGATATCACAAAATAATTTACAAAGAGCATACCTTTAGAATTTCCGATACAGTCTCGCGCGCTGGAGACAAAAGTTATTTCCCCCCGTAAAGTTTTGCCATTGCTCACTTTGAAATCGTTGAGTTTGTTAATCAAAAATTCGTTAAAGTTTTACAAGATATGAAATAGACAATAAAACGAGTTCGAAATTTGGCCCATATTCGGTGGAGGATTACGTTATTCAAAATTTGATGACTCTAGGTACCGTTCTTTTATCATAATGCGGGAACATTTATGCAGAATCTTCATTATTTAATTTCTTTAAATGTAATACAAAGCGATATTATTTTTGGCAGCAATTTGAAAAGTGATACAGCGTTTTCTTCAAACTAAAAATTACAGCGCACTTGAAAATAACGAGACAGGTTTTTCTGAACGAGTTTGTCTGTTCTCGAAAATGAAAATTTGTTTGCTATATCGTTTATAGAACGAATAGAAATGCGAACATCTAGTCATGGAAACGAACTATAGTACAAAAGATGCAGAAAATATGAATACATTTTTGTAACTCTTGATTACATTATGATAACAAAATGAGCTCTACGATTTCATGCTCATTCCTTTTTCTTCAGGGTTATAATAATAAAAGTTAATCATATTATTCCGTTAATTAGTTAATTATATTATTATTTGACTTAATTATAAGAAAAATTAATACTGTAAAAAAAGGAACTAATGTAATAACAGAAATATGCTTCTCCCAAATTAAATTTTCTTGTTCGCAAGCTGCTGATTGCTTTCCTACGTAAACTATAAATTGATTAATTACATCAAATGATAGCTAACCAAATTAACTGCCCAGTGTAAATTTTTCTACACGCATACTTCTGATTGTTACTCTCAATAAATATAAAAAAACATTTGCGATAGAAATCCAGTTATCCCGATTTAGAGTCAGGAGCTAATGTTATATTGGATAGTTTAGTTATCCGAATTTCTTACTGTTATTTCCAAGATTATTGCTTATTTAGTCAGGTGTTTTAAACCATTTTTATAGATTCAAATGAGACAAAAATTGTATCATTTGGTAATGTAGGTACATCAGAGTACAATGTTAAAAAAATATGCTATTTAAAAAGTATTGGAACAGCAATTACGTAGGCCAATTTTTTCGTTTACGACATGAATCAATGTTTACACATCTTCGCAAAGCCTTGGTGAACTTAGCCCCCACTGTGTCTGAGTATCATGTTCAACAAAGCAACGCTCTAATGCGTTCAGAAGTACTCCAGTGCTAAAAGTGTCAAAGACTTGACAATGTCAATCACTCATGCAAGGCACCACTTGAATGTGTCACCTGTGATAAATATCACGTAACAAACAAGGGCGCTGTTGTATGAACTTTTAGTGATTCCAAAATAATGTGAGGAACTGCAATTAAAGTTACTCATGCTGCATGTGCAGGAACATTCTCAACCTTAGAAGGCCGAAATCGTTCAGCTGAAGGGAACAGCACAAATATAAGTCACGTTAGTAATAACACAAGACACCTCAACCTACAAGGCCGAAATCAGTCAGCTGAAGGAAGCAGCATAAATACAAGTGACGTTAGTAACAATACAAGACATCTCAACCAACAAGGCCGAAATCAGTGAGCTGAAGGGAGCAGCACAAATACAATTGACGTTAGTAACAATACAAGACATTAGATGCGTTCTTTTGTAGTCTAATCTCCAGGAAAATCTACTAAAATGTCAACATGCAACTGACCACGCGACATAAATAATTTCTGAAAATAACTCTTCAAGATCCCCTTCAAGCAATCTGTAATCGTGACGGAAAGGTTGAGATCATGAGCTCACTTTAAGTGTTTCGAACTACTGTCACAACAGCGGCGATGTAATGGCTTACTCTTCTATAGACATCAATAGTCAGTAACTGCAGACTAGGTCTTTTGTTATCTCAAATACCGCCAGCACTACCTTCTCACTTGTGGCAACATATTATTGTATTTGAAGCTTTCTGAAGTATTTTTATGCACCACGCTGGATTTCATTATCATTGCATTATATTCCTTTTGCATTATCTGTAGCTGCATTATGTTGAATATTGAGTACATTTTTTCTACTGTATATTAGTAATTAAAATTTTGTATTCAAAGTATGAAATAATATCCTGCACTATGTTAAACCTTTCTTTGCCACACCATATGTATTATAATTCTGTAGTACACTGGTTTCAAAAGTTAAGCATATTGTTGCACTTTTCTTTTCTTCTGCCACCAGCTGTTGCGTTTCCTTCCTTCACGTTCGTACAGGGTTTGTAGATTTGGAGTGAATAACGACGACACTTGATGAAGTATCTAAACACACTTTATATACCAGTATTGTCAGGACAGCCCCAAAACACGTTTTACAGTCGTCGATGAACTACTATAAACACGCTGACACGATCAGCGACACAGCCTTCAGGTTATCAGGCTATCACGGTGGAGACAACTTCCTGCAAAGCACCCGACTCTGCTTTACGGAGTACAGCTCCCGACTCTGCTTGGTCTTTCTCGGAACTCCACGTACTCTCGAGAATCTCCACGTTACAACTTGCGATGCACTCGACGACACACGAGCACAGCTCCCGATTCTTCAGTTCAGTCGTTCGCGGAGCTTAGCACGTTCTCTCGACGATGCACTAACCGCGATACACTAACAGACTCCTTCGGTGCACTCGACGACCCACTCGGCACTCGCTGCCCGGCTGTCAACTCGATCGACTCCGCAGGGAATCGCTAGACGAGACACCAACTCAATACTGACTAACTCGCACTCTAGACGAGGCACACACACTAACTGACTGCGGACCAACAGGGTTTATATAGCTTTCGGCTTGTGTTCGAGAACATTCTGGGCTAAACCAGTAAGAATTCGTTTCAGAAGGTTCTCCATCCGTCCATGGTATATCGCCAATTTTATCGCAAAATGGACGATTTATCGCCAAATGTGGCAAATCTCCTTTTTTGCTATTTTATGGCAACCCTAAAACTGCTTTACGGGGAAGCCATCTCACCGCACCTGTACATTTCGTAACAATATATTTTCTCCCTTCTTTCTGCATGCCTTAGTGGTGTAACGGTTAGCACACTCGGCGCGTATTCGAGAGGTCCAGTTTCGAGTCCCGGCGAGGACATTACTCATTTTTCGCGTTACCTACTTTGAAAATCCTAATGACTCTACAAGCATGCGATAGTAAAATCAACAAAAAGGAAACACGAAAGCTTTGATCAACATTATATAGCACATGTAGGTATCAAATGTATTTATGCCTCAAAGAAAACTAAGTATTATGTACAAAGATGAAAATAACACTTAATTTTTTTAATTACATGATGACGTCGCATTTGGGTCATTAACAAAGTTTGAGTTGAAAACAAACAAAACTTGTAAGTTATATGACCGGCGAAGACTTTTACAGCAATTTCCCTAGATTTCAATAAGGTGATCAACCACTGCCTCTGCAAGCAACAACTATTCCTCTATTAAACGACTTTTTAACCATCTCAGACTGATTGCAAGAGGTAAATACGTAGAGACAGCCCACCTATGGACATTCCAAAGACTTCTCGAATATGGACCTCTCGAATACGCGCCGAGTGTGCTAACTGTTACACCAGGAAGGCATGCAGAAAGGAGGGAGAAAATATATGCTTAATGGAATTAAAGCCGGGAGAATACTGTGACGACTCCATGCGAGAAATGCTTTCACTTTCCAGATATTCGTTTACGTTATTGGCTCGATGGGGACAGCGCGGTCTACAAACTGATGGTCATTCAAGCCCGCCTGCGTGGTGCGATAAAAAAATAAGATTTTAAAACTAAAACTAAAGCAAAAAGGGCACTGTTTTCAGTCAAAATAAATCATTACCGGTGCCGCTTGGCTGTCAGTCTACACGTCCCTGCTCTGAAGCAGCATATAAATTTGGGTATCTGGTGAAAATTAAATTAAAAAGAAGAACACTGTTTAAGCTACTAATCTCACTTGTCTGACATAATCAGGAAGAGCTCACGAATTTTATAGTTGGCAAGAAGTACAAGACTGCATTCTTAGTTGGCGACAGCCTTGAGCACTAAATATAGGTGACAGTGCGATTTCGGCCAGTTCCACCAGGAAGAGCACCCCAGAAGCGGTCCAAGGGTCTCCCACCTTCTTCCTCTACAACCAAACCATACTAGAAGAATTTCTGCTCATCATATAGAGTTCTCCCGTGCCGTGGACACCATACATGTACAATATATATGCTTTATTCAGGATTCGAACCCGGACCTCTTCGGTCGCTAACCACTGCCTCGTTGAGCGGCAC